TTATGTCCAGTGTTCTGTCTTCAGTAGAATTCTGCATATGTGTATACTAGAAAATGTCATGTCAGATTCCTGCACAGGTCCAGTTTGGCAAACACAAAAAGCTTAGTACCAGAACTGACCAGTGCGCCTGCATTTGGATTTGTCACTTTTTTTCACTTTCGCTTTAAAAGTCTCCCACATTGTAATTGTGGAGTTTGCAAAATGGTTGGTCTGAGGTTATCTGCTGTTTTGTCTCATTCAGATATGAAAAGCTCTCACTCAGTTGCTCATCTGCCACTTGTTGATGGAGGCTAAATCAAAGTACCATAAAGAGAATCAAATTTTCTGTCCAGGGTGACTGTGTATGTGGTAACGGCACTTTCACTCTCATTGTTATAGTGATTGTAGCCAACCCAGTAACCATGTGTAACTACAGTGTTATTATGCGCTAAATGCAGTGTAATGCACTATTGTCCATCAAGCAAGAAATCAGTGCACACATTATAGACAAGATGAGGAAGAGAGGTGAATTTGATCACCTGTAGTGTGAGTGATTTACCTTGCTTTAAAGATGAAATGTAAAAGACATGGATTGTGAGATGTTTTACTTTACAACAACCTAACCCAAATCCTTACAATGGAACTATGGACATGCATAGTGTTGGAGTTATAACATTAACAGTTACATTTTTTTATAGAACAATATAAATGTGTAGGTGAAAATGTACAATAGGTCAACACACAAAGTCTTATACAAAACAGCAACACCACACAGGCATACCAATACAATATAGATTTGCTGTTTATGTATTATAGAAATGACAGCCATGGACGACTCTGAGTATCAACAAAGGAGACAGATGTAATATAAATTTATGTACAGTCATACTTATCTGACCAAAGTCATACAAGTGATAAACCAAACTGCAGTTTCCAATTTATGACAAAACCTTTATGCCACCAATAAAAACTCAATTTCTTCTGTCTGGCAACACAACACTCATTCTCCCCACGCCAAATAAAAACAAATAATGCATGCTACATATAGGCTTTGTTATTTTTATAATAACAAACACTGGGTGTGAAAAGCTGAAACCAAGAAAAAAACACTCAAATGTAACATAGATATTGTTTTGATAGAGGAAGCCTGCCAGTTCTCCACAATATCCAATAAATTAACACAGGAGTGAAAAGTAGTTCTTCCTCGATTGACAGAGGCATCTCAACAGAGCTCTTCCAAGTCGTCACTCTGCAGCCACAGCCAGCAGATGATCATTTCGCGCAGCACCTCCAACTGATCGGGCCTGGGGGGATTATACAAGCCATCACATTCTATCTATTCCCTTGAAGCTCCCCTTCAGCCACTCTCCTGCCTGCAACTTGGCAGACATGCAAATGATCCTGTCAATGTCTCCCTCACCCTGCAGCCCCACAGCCCCCAACCCTGCAAATAAGTCAAGGCCATTTGCTGAAATGGTGGGTCTGTGACCCAGGGTGGCTGTCACACCTCGTACTGCTTCTCCTCAGTCACTTTGGAGGTAGCTCTGACATCTCAACTAACGACTAGTGAAGAAAGAGAGATTTGTTTTTTTTCTCCAGCATTTATTCATGGGACAATAAGCAGCAGTTTAGCAGCATGTAGAGGTGAACATTATAAATGTCCATTAATGAATTTGTGGAGCAAAATACTCATCCACATAACTTGAATGTAATGATTATTGTATTTCTAATTGTATAAATAAGGCAAAGTACCTGTAATGTTACTAGATGGATTTTAGAAAAACATTCATATCACAAAAAAATAAAAACATACTTATTGCTACAAATACAATGTCCTCACATGCTTTTTGATTAAATTGTAATCTATAGTTAATTAATAAATTACACAAATACCTAGTTTGAGTAATATTTAAACACATTTTAAAAACGATTTCCAACCTCTACTCCCAGGCATTGTCAATATGTGTCCCAGCGCTGCACATGAGTGCATTTCTTTTCTCCTCTTAAGATGCAGATGTGCTCGAGTTTACTCACATTGTGACAGTCTGTCTTTAAGTTATTCCAGAGATTTTCACTGGGATTTAACTCTGCCTGGGTGACTAAAAAAAATTCATATTCATTGTTAGAAGCCATTGGAGTGTAGATGCAGTTGCGTGATTGTGATTACTGACTTGAACATGAATTTTCTGTTAAAACTACATTTTTGGGCTGATTCTTTTTGTGATGCATCCATTCATTATTTCCTCTTTTCCTGAAGTTCTTCTTAAGTTCTCGACTTTATAGAGGAGCTAAACAATCGGATGCAGTAATTTTGACATTGATCTGTGGCTTATTTGATCAAGCCCTTTTTGACCGTATGTGGTCGAGGTTGCTGAGTTTGGTCAGTAACCTATTTGAATAATCCATATGTCCATACATTTAACAATATCAGCTGAAGCAGAACAAACTATCATGAAATAATTGGATGGACTGCCATGAAACCTGGTGCAGATATTTGTGCCATTTTATCATAGTAGCTTTATATATCATCTTTTAAAATTGGTTCTGTCAAAGGAACCTTGTAGTAAAATCCCACTGTTGTTCAGAAGAATTCAAAAACGCCATGTCCGTGTTCAGTGCCTTGGCAGAACTATCAGGCTCAGCATTGTTTTATTTCGGATTATGATGAAAAGTAGTGTACATGCTATGATACTAAATTTCTCATTTCATTGTGGGAATTTATAAGAGCACTATATAGACCAGAAATGTTGTACTTCAGGCACTGTTGTAAAATGGTAAAGAAAAAATAGTTTAATAAAGGTATCTTATAAAGTGAGTGATTCTGGACACAGTGAAGGTGGCAGATTACATTCTCTAGGTATTGTATGGTCTAATTGGTTTGGCCACCATGGGGCAAATTAAAG